AGTTTCACAGACCTCAAATTAATCGAGTTTGGCTCATTTGAGTTGTTGTGACCTGAGGCTATATTCAATACAACCATACAGGTTTTCATTCTCACTAATGAATGAAATGCTATTCGTTCCAAGTTGAGTCAAATGATAAAAAAATAAATAAAAAAACCTGCTGGATGCTGAGAAATAAATTATTCAGAGAGCTGTTAAATTGTCAATGCCAGCAGTGCTCTGGCAGAAGTCCTTTTGGTGCTTCTGCAGCTCTACAAAAACACCTCACAGAGAAAGTGCCTTAGTTTATCTCAATGCTGTTGGCTCAGCCACAGTGAAAGTTTATAATGAAAAGGAGATTCAAAGTAAACACTTAATATAAGTGAACTTCTTTAAACCCGGCGTGACTTCTCCGGGGAAGAGAAAGTTGCCCTTCAGCTCACCATTATTAATATGAAACAAACTAGTAGAGAAAGGTGGGATGGAAAGAGAATGAAGTCCCCCCCGACCTACCTGTCACTACACCTGAGAGAGGGCGGGGCATCCAGCCGAGGAGGCAAATGGAGAAATGAGGAACAGACCACGAAGGAACACTCGTGGTTGGTTTTGCTCTCACTCTGGTGGCGAGCAGAAGATCCGGCCTTAGGGGTCCAGAGTTCGAAATAACAGCAAGTAACACCGCCCGAACACTGAGGACCCACAAACTCGGTTCATCATTTTTTACTTTTTTTCTGCTCATTGTTTTAAAAGTATAAATTGAAGAGGACTCAGCTCTCCTTTGTTTCCCACTGGACGTGAATCCTCACCCTTAGACTGAGTTACGACTACACAAAGAGAGACATGGACCAAAGTTTTATTCAGTATGACCGAAGATAAGCCAGTTACTTCAGTAACTCAGCAGCAAAGTAATAACAGGTAAAACCAGTAGAACTCTCAGACTTCCACTGGGCTGAAACTTATCGCCATCTGGTGGCCGTAATATAGCCTACAGGTTTGAGACCTGTAGGCTTAATTTTACCAGGTTACAGTAACACTTTGTTATTTCTGTGGTGTAAAGAAGCAAAGGGTTGGAGCAGGGAACACCAGTTAGTCAGTAAGTTAATAAAAGCACACAACATTTTACTGCACATCAAAATAGCAGAACGTAGTGGCTGCGAGAGTTTAGGCTTTGGTTAAATGAGGCCAATTACTGACCTTTGTTTTCCCTACACAAAGCCTAAACAGAGCAACATTTAGCTAAAACTAACAGCACAGAGTCAAGGACAACTAAAGATGAACCTGACTCAGTGAAACATCCACCTTTTGCTTTTTGCTCCACACATTGCAGCCTTTATGTGACGATTTCATTTCACAGATTTAGGAAACAAGGACATAATGTTGCCTACTCACGGTGAGATGTCGGCAAAGTGGACGTTTTTTCTCCAGCCTGTGGATAAACAAAGAGACAAAGAGACATTTGAACAGTTTCACACCAAAGCTACAGAAATAAAAGAGTGATAACGAGCAACTGTTATGATGATTTCGAGATATTTTTATTCCTGAAATCTACAAAACTGAAAGCATGCGGCTGAATGAGCTGTGCTCGCATCTATTGTATCCAAAGTTTATCAGCATATTCTCAGTAAAGAAACATTTTTGCCTGAACAATGAAATGTTTCTGTCCACAAAAGATGCCACACAGACAAAAATCCACATATACTGTAAAATACTTAAATAGAATAAATGATAGAAGCAATGAAGAACTGGACTGAAGCCCGGCCTTTATTCCCTCCCAAATATTCCACAATCAGCCATAAAGTTACTGCAAAGAAGAAACACAGTAACTCCTCCACGAAGTGACAGAGT